GTTTAAATCTAATTAAATAATTTTCCTGTGTTCAAACAACCATAAACCAGGTGGTCAAAGAACAAGTGTGTGAAATTTCAACCAAGAGGTGATTTATTCAGAAAATTATGCACTCCAAGGGTTTATAAAAACAGTGCCTCTTCAGCAGTAACTACAGCATAGCACCTGCTACTTTCACATTCTAATACAATTTTAATTTAAAAAAAAAAATCAGTTAGTCCTTTTAGTCAACTAGACACATACAAACATCATCCTATGAATCAAATGCCAAATTCCAGAGTTCAACACTCAACTTCTATCAAACTTCTCAGTGAATTTTAGGTGCAAGATACAGAGCCTCCTTCCTCAATACTCCTGAAGTATTTGTACTGACTTTTGAATTAATACCCTATTGTGTGTTAATTCCTCCCGTTTTCAGCAAAGGTTCTACTATATTTCAAATAGCCATAGGGTAAAAAATACTACTCAAATGTTCTGATAAATGAGTATATGAATCCATGAAAGAAATTAAGAATGCAACTGTTCAGGATATAATTTCCATCCCTTGAAATTATACACAATATCTTTAAGATATGGCCTTTCTTAATCCACATAGCTAAAATTCTCCTCTGGGTCCTCATTATTTCACATCTTGACTACTGCATCCTCTTCTTGTCTGGTATTATCAAGCACCATCTTTCCTACCTAAATCCATTCAAAATGTTGCTGCAAAAATCATTTTTCTGGATCATTGCTTTGACTATGATATTACCCCTCTTTGCATCCTTCCATTGACTCCACATCAGGCGTATACCACATTTCACTTTTTTTCCCTTCACTATTCATCACCTACCCCCACCTTACCCATCATTTCTTATATGGTATAGAACCACAGACCCTGGCTCTATTTCACCAACACCACCAGCCCTGATTGCTAATTTGTTAACATTTTCCAAATGCAGATTGAGCTTTTGAGATATTACCACAAAAGAGACAGAGACTGAAATTCTAAGTGCTGCATTTGCCCAGCTAATACACTTCAATTTTTGAAGCTGAGAATTGAATACCATCACAATTTGATGATATTCTAGGTTTTGAGGTGGGGGGAGAAAGTGTAACTTCTCTCACACACTTTTCTTTCTAAAGATATTTCTCTTTGCTATTGATTACTTCCAGTCACTGTTTGTGGAGTTTTGGCTGTTCTTAAAATAGTAGCTGCTTTCAGACATAAGTGCTTCTTCAATTTCTTTGTTCCCCTGCAGCTGCACCTTGCCCTTTCATTTGGCCCAGAATACTTAGCTACCGCTCCTAGAAACCTGGGTGGGGGAGGTCAGGGATGAAATACATTTTTACTCTGCTTTTACATTAGAAAGACCACAGACATCAGTGGGAGCCTACATTTTCCACCATACATTCTGAGGGAGCTGGGCTGTTTTCCTCCATCCCTGCAATATGGAGTCATTTTCTCCAGCAAATCCCATTCTTGCTCCTACAGTTCACCTACAACTGTAGTATAATTCCTGTTGCTACAGAACACATTTAAACAAAGCAATAATGTTTGAGCTCAGGTATTATTGTCAGTACGAAGCTGTCGATGCACCAGAAATGATTTTTTATGAATCTCAATTTTTCTTTGTTAAAATCATTTTGGTCCCAGTGGCTGAAGCATCAGTTTGCCACAAAATACTTGAACGCTTGAGACAAACTACAAGTTTACAGCCAAATTACATAAACTCCCCTGCTTGTTAGTCAGTGTCAGAAGCCTGTGCTCCATTCTTATAATAATGAATCTAGAAGCCTGGCTGGAAGCCAGCCTGTGGTCTCTGACCGTGTGTACGATGATTTCCATTTGAATACTCATAATGGTTATATTGACTGTTGATGCTTAAAAAAAAAACCTGAAAGGCACAGAACCAGTACAGCAGGGAAAAAGGCATTTGTTCCAATGTAAGTGTGAGTTCTTGAGTGAAAGCCAACACCATGCAATGTAGCAATCATAAGTTAACATCAGAGGACAAAGTGATGCTTTATCTTATAGTTTGCCTTGTATTAGTATAGCGTTATACTAGAGGATTATTCAGCCAAGTAGGTTCAAACACAAAGTAAATTAAATGTGCCACCTCACACTGGGCTACTGCGGGGTTCATTTTCATAATTACTATTTGTTAGCTTTTCTTAGTAGGTATCTCTTGCTTTTATTCTGTTTATTCTGTCACCGAGACTTAGGGTTGCCATCCATCCCGTTTTCACCCAGACAACCCAGGTTTCAGCTTGTGTGTCTCGGTGTCATTTGACAAGCCCTGATGTCTGGGATTATTTTATCTAGTGGTGGGTGAAGAGGGAAGAGGCAAAGCTGAGACAGAACCTCAGGTGTGGGGCCTCTGGGGTCTGGTTACCCACAATTGGAAAGGTGGCAATCCTAGGTGCACCACTCACCACTGGTCTGGTGCCTTCTCCTGGTCACTCTGAGGAGTAGCTCCTGAGGTAGATAGCCCCTGCCATGGTTTGCACACCATTATGCTGTCTCTCCTTCTGATCTGCAGTTCCACGGTCACTCCCAGGCCCTCTGTGTCTCCTTTGTGACTTAGCCCTCCAGCTAGGTCACTCAGGGCATGTCTACACTGCCGGCTAAATTGGCACTGCTCCAATTGATGCAGCAGTGTTGATTTAGCGGGTCTGATGAAGACACGCAATGTCAATGGGAGAGCGCTCTCCCATTGATTTGTGTACACCGCCTCCCCAAAAAGCGTAAGGGAAGTCGGCAGGAGAGGGTCTCCCATCAACACAGTGCAGTGTAAACCCCGCGGTAAGTGGATCTAGCTACGTCAGCTTCAGTTACATTTAGGGTTGCCAGGTGTCCGTTTTTCAACTGGAACACCTTGTCAAAAAGGTACCCTGGTGGCTCCGATCAGCACCACTGACGGGGCCATTAAAAGTCTGGTTGGCGCAGGACTGGCAGGCTCCCTACATGGCTTCGCGCAGCTCCCCAGAAGCAGTGGCATCTCCCTCAGCTCCTAGGCAAAGGGGTAGCTGCAGGGGCTCCAAGCGCTACCCCTGCCCCAAGTGCCCAGCCAATGGGAGCTGTGGGGGCGGTGCCTGCGGACAGAGGCAGCGTGCAGAGCCGCCTGGCTGCGCTTCTCCCTAGGAGCTGGAGGAACATGCCGCCGCTTGCAGGGCCACCCGAGGTAAGCACAGCTCGCAGCCCACAACCCCGCCCCTGAGCCCCCTCCCAAACTCTCGCCCAGAGCCCGCACCCTGCACCCCCCTCCTGTGCCCCAACCCCCTGCCCCAGCCTTGAGCCCTCTCACACACCCAAACTCCCTTCCAGAGCCCACACCCCAAACCCTCTCCCATGCCCCAACCCCCAGCCCTGAGCCCCTCCTGCATTCCAAACACCTTGACCCCAGCCTGGTGTCCCTGCTGGACCCCAAGCCCCTCATTCCAGGCCCACCGAGAGTCTGCACCCCCAGCCGAAGCCCTCACCCCCTCCCACACCCCAACAGCCTACCCCAGCCACAGCCTGGTGAAAATGAGTGAGTGAGGGTGGGGCAGAGCGAGCAACAGAGGGAGGGGGGATGGAGTGAGCAGAGCAGAGCCTCAGAGAAGAGGCGGGGCAGGAGGGAGGGACCTCAGGGAAGGGGAGGGGGCAAGGGTGTTCGGTTTTGTGCAATTAAAAAATTGGCAACCCTAGTTACGTTATTCACATAACTGAAGTAGCATAACTTAGATCAATTTACTGCAGTAGTGTAGATCAGCCCTCAGCGTTCCCCCTTCTGGGGTACAAGCCTAGACGGTCTTCCCATTCATTGCCTCAGCTCTAAGCCATGCCCTTGGTGACTGGTAGGGGACCCCAGACCCGCCCTCTTCTCCAGATTCCAGTCCAGCGTCCCTCAGCTCAGCAGTTCTGGGCTTCCTCTCTCTACCCTCACTGCTCCTTCCCTGGACTGCTTCTTGCTACACTGGCTCCCCTTCTCTTTCTGGCTGTACCAGCTCCAAGAACCCTCTTCCCAGGGCATGACTGCCCTTTCTCAGCAGCAGACCCCACCTATAGCCTGCTATCTGGCTTTACAGGCTTTGCCTGTTCCTGCACAGGTGACCCTCTCTCTAATTAGCTGCCTCCAGCCTAAAGCTCCCTTGTTTGCAGACTAATTAACTCATTGAGCCAACCTGGCCCAATTCAGCTTTTGCAGGGCCAGTGTGGGAAGCTAGTTGGGGCCAGATCCTCAACTGTGGTGAATCAGCGTAGCCCTGCTGGCTTCACTTAAACTGTACAGATTTACACCCAACTGAAGGTCTGGTCCTAAATCAAAAGATCTGAGTTTTTAAGCCCCTGGAAATCAAGCTAGGCATGTCTAATAGCATGAGAAGCAGGATGGTCTTGTGGTTAAGGCACAGAACTGGGTGTCAGGAGATACTCACTGCATCACTCTTCCTGTGTGATCTTATTATACAAGACACTTAACTTCACTATGCCTCACTTTCTCCAAAAAATATAATGAACGATAATTCCCTACTTCAAAGGTATTGCAAGGTACTCTGGCACTAGAGTGACAAGCACCACTGAAATGCCTATAAATAATAAATAAATATTGGTAAGTGCCACTCATCCTAATCTACTGGATTGTAAGTGAACTATGGCGGATATGCTTATTGCCGGAACTTGCTTTATTATTTGCTCACTTTTGAAGTTATAAAGGAACATTTACAAGAGGTTTACACAATTCCAGGTTTCCTTTGTTTAACATTGATGTTTATGATTAGAGGCTGGGGAGAAAGAATTACATCTTAGAAAAATTCAAACCTATTTGTAGTGTTTATTTTTCCAAAGTAAATATGCCCACAAAGGTAAAACAGCTGCATAAACTACACCAGCAAGAAAGATGACAAATGAGAAGTTAATAGCTTAACCTTTAGATAGGTGGCAGCTTGAAATATATTGCGAATGATAAGAGATTGAGTAAGTGGCAATAAATACTCATTTCACAGAACAGTCAACTGTATGATTGGTTGTCATTTTCTAGGTCTCATTCGCCTGCAAGAGCTCATCAAAGCCCCTTCTAGATATAACATTAAAATCAAAATCCGTCAGTTGCCCTCTGGGAATAAAGATGCCAGGCCTTTACTCAAGGAGATGAAGAAAGGCAAGGAGTTCTATGTGATATTTGATTGCTCACATGAAACAGCAGCAGAAATCCTTAAACAGGTAAGAGGAAAAAAAACCCACCAATAATGCTCATTTCTCATTCTCAAAGATATAATGCCATTTGGTTTTCATTTGCTGGGAAACAATAAAACTGCATTCATGTGGATTAAGCTGTAGATCTGTTATCAGAAACAGTTGATACAGAGCAACTCTTATGAGCTCAGTTGAGTTTTACAGCACTTCGGAGGTGTGCAGTGCTATGTTTCTAATGAGAATTTGGGTTGCACCCGTGAAGATGATTTGCAATTGTAGTTACAACTTTGGATCCTGCTGGCGTGAAAGGAATGTTTCATTATTTTTAATATGTCCTGTTTCAATTTTTTTAACCTTATGTCTAAATGTAAGGATCATTTTCCAAATGCACATCGACTTGATTTGAGCAAGTCATTCTCTCCATAAAACCTATTGGGTCAAATTAAACTGAGTTACACCAGGGTGAGTCTGCAGTAATTCCACTGAAGACAACATAACAACTCTGGATTCACACCACTGTAAGGGGGTAGAATTTGGCCCATTGGCTGCAACTTGCCAAATTTTGGCTCTGAACTGGAGAAAAGAGGCAAAGAAAATGGCACCATAGAATTTTTTTTAATTTATTGTTATGTACTATGTATTTCTACAGCACCACAGATACAAACAGGAATAAACAGTAAAGATTCCTGTCCCAAGGAGATTGCAATCTAAAGCCCCATTGCTTCAAAGATATATGCACCTGCTTAAATTTATGTAGTGAGTTTACGTCACAGGGACTACTCAGTGCATAAAGTTAAGTAGGTGTGTAAATCTTTGTGGGATTGGGGCCTAAGACCCCAGTCCTGCAAACTGATCAGCTCGGGCAGACCCCTGTGCCCATGCAGACACACTGTGACTTCAGTGAGGCACCACACAGGCCATGTACATTGGCTTACAGGTTGGGGGCTTACATCAGACATAATGAAGCTGAGAACCCGAAGGGGAGCCCCAGGAAGTGATGCAATTTGATTTATTTTTTGGCACATAGGTTGGTAGTTCTGAAGAGCAGGAACACATGGCAAAGGAATGAGCTTTGCAGTGGAAGGCTAAGCAAATGAAGTCAGTCCCAAGGGACATGAAGGAAGTGACTAAGGTTACCTGGCTCACTGGTGGAGGTGGGGAGTACTTCAAGCATAGTAAATTGTTTATGAAAAAATAACCACTGAGTCAAAAAAACAAGAGGAGCCAAAGGGTGCACTACGGTGGGCTAAAGTGGCATAGAGTGCAGGGAGGAGATAAGTGATAGGAAAGATGCTCTGCAAAGAATTGAAAGTGAAGGCAAACAGCATGAAGTGGACTGTGGAAAGAAACAGGGAACTGAGTAGGGCTCTGCCTTGGATCAGAGCTGTGAGGAAGGAAGCAGCACAGCATGTTGAATGGATTGGAGAGGGAAACGATCAGAGGTCAGAGAGGATGTGGCTACTGTAGTCAAAGGAGAGATAACCATGGTGTGAACCAAAGTTTTGGCTGTGATGACAAAATAAGAAGTGGATTTTGAAGCTTTTGTAGAAGAAGAATGAATGGTGGTTATGAGACAGTCTTGTTATGAAATGCAGATGAAAGAAGCAGCAGCAAGACATTGAGACTTCCATCAAAAGGCAGTTGAAGCAGAGATGGGGATCTATATCCAGGTTGTTAACTCATGCTGCAGGGTTGATCTGTACCTAAAGCATGGCATTTGATATTCTCAGTAGCCTTATTGGAAAGTCCTATATAACTTTATAGGGATGAAATGAATAAATTAAACAAGTTCTACAGAAATTATTCTGAAAACCTATAAAACTTAATGGAGAACAATATCTTCCCTCTAGAGACGTTTAAACCGTGCCATAGAATTTGATAGGAAATATATAAATCTCATTTAAGGCATATAGGATTTCCCATAAGAGCAGAAACCAAAGCCAAAAATCACTTAACTCGCTATGGAAGTAATCCCAATATCTACAATTCTTTAGCTTTTTATTATCCTTACAATAAGACAGTTGAGACTTGGTAGCTCATACTGGAAGAGGCATGGATATTTGTGGATGGATGATGGAGAGGTGGAGGTAGGGTGTTGTTAAAAGGGTAATGAGCTACAGGGGGCACATGAATTATGAATCACCAGTCTTTCAAACAATATTTAAAAACAACATCATCATCATCATCATCATAACATGTAACATTAAATTCATCTATGTACAAACCAAGGCTCTGCTACTGCAATGCAGCGGATGAATTTTGACCCAAATATTGGGTGGACAAAGAGCTACTTGACTAGACACTCAGCCCCTTCACCTCCTCCCCAGTATGCTACAATATACGTTTAAAGCCCATGTTTGCACCCACTGACCAATATAATGAAAGAGCTTGTACATAAGAAAGTTTTTATAAAGCAAAAATACAGACCTGTGCGTGTGTGCGTTATTGAAATGGTTATAAAAATTTTCACTTACTAAAATGTCAAAATTTGAGAAAATGTGTTTAAAATATAAAAATTGGGTTTAATTTTGAACCCAGAGAAATGGAAACAACTTACAAATTTTGAATTTTTTCAGAATTTTATTTTTTGACCAACCCTACTTACTGGCCAACTCTTCTAAAGTTAAATATAGCAGGAATAATTTTGGGGAAGCTCTGTGTCCTGAGATATACAAGAGGTTAGATATATCTGGTATAACAGCCTCTTTTTATGTGTCCTGGCTTATCTGCTAAGGTTAAGTCTTTAACATTAATTTGCAATTTACTCTTTTGACTTAAGCATAATGATGTAGCTTTTACTGCTAGACAAATTCTGACTAATTTTGTAGCTACTCATTTTAAATTATCTCTTTTCCCACACTTTTTTGTTATTACATTGTTTATGGAATGTGCTTGTATTTTTAATAAGATTTTGGATACCCAGAAAATGTTTTATGAAGTTTTCTATAGTCACTTCAGCTACGTGGTGGTCATAGCAGCAAAATAACTAATTCAGTTCTTATAGAAGAGCTAAAACTGTGTGCCACAGTAGTAAGCACTCTAACTACTATGATAAATATGAAAAGATATTTCATTAAAATAAGTAGTATATGCCATTTTAAAGAACCTTCCTTGGCTAAAGTATGTCTAAGTATTAGGGGCTTTAACCAGCTCACAATTTATCCAGACTTCATGATTGTACAGGACCCAGTAAGCCACATATAGTATGGCAGCTTCACAGCCCATCAGCCAACTCAGAAGCCTGGTTGTTGCATGGTGCAAGGACAAAATCCTGCTCTGTGCTTAGCAGCATGGGAGATCATATAAAATGAGCTCCGTAGCTTCTCCTTAATGCTGCTCACTATCCTAGCACACATCTTCTCGGGGGGGGGGAGGGAGGGAGAACAGCCTGCAGGCATTACTTTAACCCCCACCCCTAGTATGGCTCTAGTAGGAAGGGAGGTTGGGAGAGAAGGGGAATGGAACTCAGACCTTTTAATTATTTTTAAGATTAAAAACTCTACCATTTCAGTACTCATCCCCCAGTCACTGGTTGGTAGGTGGAAGCCTGGTCCCACTTGTCTAAGACCTGGTATACACTTAAAAATTAGACTGACCTAGCTATGTCCCTCAGGGTTGTGAACAATTTTGCGACCTGAGCACCAGAATTAGGTTGACCTAAACCTCAGTGTAGACTCAAGTAGGTCGATGAAAGCATTTTTCTGCTAACCTAGTTACAGCCTCTCTGAGAGGTGGAACAACAACATTGGCAAAAACCCCCCTTTCTTTTGCTGTAGGAATTGTCTACACCAGGGATCGGCAACTTTTGGCACGTGGCCTGCCAGGGAAAGCCCCTGGCGGGCCGGCCCGGTTTGTTTACTTGCCGCGTCCACAGGTTCGGCTCCCACTGGCCGCGGTTCACCGCTCCAGGCCAATGGGGGCTGCGGGAAGTAGCGCCAGCACATCCCTCGGCTCATGCACAATGGCACAACTTAAGTAGCTTTGGCGCTACTCCCACTCCTATTGGAGGAATTCCCATGATTAAGTGTGGCTCTTTTCTTCTAGATCACTATCTGGGCTTGGAAGCAAGGGAAAGAGATGTTCAGATCCATGATCCCCTTCTCTCTTACTGAACTTAAAGAGACAGTCAACTAGGAAGACTTCCTTTTCTGGTCACATGGCTCCTTTAAAATGTTTCCTCTAGCTAAATTAGATCAGTCAGCTGGGCAAAATCCTATACCTGATTTTAAGCCATCAGCCAAAACACTGAGCATGCTCAGTGCATCTCACCATGTCGTTCACAAGTACCTTAATGCTATATATCATTTGAATGGCGCAGGTTTAGGAAGCAATATAAGACAGCATTAGATGGCTGTATCTATGTGAATAGTACCCCACTGGAAAAATGAGCACCTTCTGTGGCTGTGCATGCTGGGTGCATTGAGGAGTCTCTACATCCAGCAGACTCAGAGTCAGGGAGAGATTGGGCAGATCCTTAGAGGCTAAATTATAATTTGAGATATGAGGCCTTACATACGTAATTTGAAAAAATCCTTTATGTTGTGTCAACTACCATCTTTGCTGACACTCATGAGACTGAAGCAGGGACTTCCAGAACTAAGAGCATTAGCCTCCACAACTTGGGTTAAAGAGCTAGGCACTGTAACTGGTGGCTGTACAGCATTCATCCTCTGTGGATCAAGCACACAGGGAAACATGTACCACACACTGGTCAGCGGGTTATAGTGACACTTGGGTCACTTACGTAAGAGGACAGTTATTTGTTCAAAGTTTTAACAATGTGTATGATGGCACAAAGTGGAATAATTGGATACAAGAGTTATTTTCTAATTGAAGTATTTTATAGAATATAGCATTATCTCTAAACGTATGTACATTTGGAGCCAAATTCTACACTCAATTATAGCTAAGTGCATATTCAGAGAAGGGTAAACTTCATGGATTGCAGTCAAGTTACTCAAATCCACCAGTGTAAATCTAAAATAGCTTGATTTAAGTTGGTGGAGTTACTGTACTCTGGATTTACA